GGTGCATGATGCCCCCAGTTTCGTTTTTGTGCAGTAAGTCCCATAGCAAGGGCTGTCAGCGCCAGCCGACATGGCTCTCATGAGTCGCGGTCTAAAGGTACCTTAACATGGATGGATTTTGACAAACTATACCTTGGTGGATAGCGAATGAATAGGCCAACAAGCTGACAAATTTCCAAGGCTTCAGATTGGATACTTTTGGAGTGAGCTCCAGACGTAGATGCATGATGCCCCCAGTTTCGTTTTTGTGCAGTAAGTCCCATAGCAAGGACCGTCAGCGCCAGCCCACATGGCTCTCTTGAGTCGCGGTCTAAAGGTACCTTAACATGGATGGATTTTGACAAACTATAGCTTGTTGGATAGCGGATGAATAGGTTAACAAGCTGACAAATTTGCAAGGCTTCAGATTCGACACTTTTGGAGTGAGCTCCAGACGTAGGTGCATGATGCCCCCAGTTTCGTTTTTGTGCAGTAAGTCCCATAGCAAGGACCGTCAGCGCCAGCCGGCATGGCTCTCATGAGTCGCGGTCTAAAGGTACCTTAACATGGATGGATGTTGACCACCTATACCTTGGTGGATAACGGATGAATAGGCCAACAAGCTGACAAGTCGGCAAGGCTTCAGACTTGAAAATTTTAGAGTGAGCCCCAGACGTAGGTGCATGATGCTCCCCGTTTTGTTTATGTGCAGTATGTCCCATAGCAAGGGCTCTCAGCGCCAGCCCACATGGCTCTCATGAGTCGCGGTCTAAAGGTACCTTAACATGGATGGATTTTGACAAACTATACCTAGGTGGATAGCGGATGAATAGGCCAACAAGCTGACAAGTCCGCAAGGCTTCAGACTTGAAATCTTTTGGAGTGAGCCCGAGACATAGGTGCATGATACCCCCTGTTTCGTTTTTGTGCAGTAAGTCCCATAGCAAGGGCTGTCAGCGCCAGCCGACATGGCTCTCATGGGTCGCGGTCTAAAAGTACCTTAACATGGTTGGATTTTGACAAACTATACCTTGGTGGATAGCGGATGAATAGGCCAACAAGCTGACAAATTTGCAAGGCTACAGATTTGACACTTTTGGAGTGAGCCCCAGACGTAGGTGCATGATGCCCCCAGTTTCGTTTTTGTGCAGTAAGTCCCATAGCAAGAGCCGTCAGCGCCAGCCGACATGGCTATCATGAGTCGCGGTCTAAAGGTACCTTAACATGGATGGATTTTGACAAACTATAGCTTGTTGGATAGCGGATGAATAGGTTAACAAGGTGACAAATTTGCAAGGCTTCAGATTTGACACTTTTGGAGTGAGCTCCAGACGTAGGTGCATGATGCCCCCTGTTTCGTTTTTGTGCAGTAAGTCCCATAGCAAGGGCCGTCAGCGCCAGCCGACATGGCTCTCATGAGTCGCGGTCTAAAGGTACCTTAACATAGATGGATGTTGACCACCTATACCTTGGTGGATAGCGGATGAATAGGCCAACAAGCTGACAAGTCGGCAAGGCTTCAGACTTGAAACTTTTAGAGTGAGCCCTAGACGTAGGTGCATGATGCTCCCCGTTTTGTTTTTGTGCCGTATGTCCCATAGCAAGGGCTCTCAGCGCCAGTCCACATGGCTCTCATGAGTCGCGGTCTAAAGGTACCTTAACATGGATGGATTTTGACAAACTATACCTAGGTGGATAGCGGATGAATAGGCCAACAAGCTGACAAGTCCGCAAGGCTTCAGACTTGAAATCTTTGGAATGAGCCCCAGACGTATGTGCATGATACCCCCTGTTTCGTTTTTGTGCAGTAAGTCCCATAGCAAGGGCTGTCAGCGCCAGCCGACATGGCTCTCATGGGTCGCGGTCTAAAAGTACCTTAACATGGTTGGATTTTGACAAACTATACCTTTGTGGATAGCGGATGAATAGGCCAACAAGCTGACAAATTTGCAAGGCTTCAGACCTGAAACTTTTGGAGTGATCTCCAGACGTAGGTGCATGATGCCCCCAGTTTCGTTTTTGTGCAGTAAGTCCCATAGCAAGGGCTGTCAGCGCCAGCCGACATGGCTCCCATGAGTCGCGGTCTAAAGGTACCTTAACATAAATGGATTTTGACAAACTATACCTTGGTGGATAGCGGATGAATAGGCCAACAAGCTGACAAATTTGCAAGGTTTCAGACCTGAAACTTTTGGAGTGAGCCCCAGACTTGGGTGCATGATGCCCCAAGTTTCGTTTTTGTGCAGTAAATCCAATAGCAAGGGCTGTCAGCCCCAGCCGACATGGCTCTCATGTGTCGCGGTCTAAAGGTACCTTAACATGGATGGATTTTGACAAACTATACCTTGGTGGATAGCGAATGAATAAGCCAACAAGCTGACAAATCGGTAAGGCTTCAGACTTGAAACTTTTGGAGTGAGCCCCAGACGTAGGTGCATGATGCCCCCAGTTTCGTTTTTGTGCAGTAAGTCCCATAGCAAGGGCTGTCAGCGCCAGCCGACATGGCTCTCATGGGTCGCGGTCTAAAAGTACCTTAACATGGTTGGATTTTGACAAACTATACCTTTGTGGATAGCGGATGAATAGGCCAACAAGCTGACAAATTTGCAAGGCTTCAGACCTGAAACTTTTGGAGTGATCTCCAGACGTAGGTGCATGATGCCCCCAGTTTCGTTTTTGTGCAGTAAGTCCCATAGCAAGGGCTGTCAGCGCCAGCCGACATGGCTCTCATGAGTCGCGGTCTAAAGGTACCTTAACATAAATGGATTTTGACAAACTATACCTTGGTGGATAGCGGATGAATAGGCCAACAAGCTGACAAATTTGCAAGGTTTCAGACCTGAAACTTTTGGAGTGAGCCCCAGACTTGGGTGCATGATGCCCCAAGTTTCGTTTTTGTGCAGTAAATCCAATAGCAAGGGCTGTCAGCCCCAGCCGACATTGCTCTCATGTGTCGCGGTCTAAAGGTACCTTAACATGGATGGATTTTGACAAACTATACCTTGGTGGATAGCGAATGAATAAGCCAACAAGCTGACAAATCGGTAAGGCTTCAGACTTGAAACTTTTGGAGTGAGCCCCAGACGTAGGTGCATGATGCCCCCAGTTTCGTTTTTGTGCAGTAAGTCCCATAGCAAGGGCCGTCAGCGCCAGCCGACATGGCTCTCTTGAATCGCGTTCTAAAGGTACCTTAACACGGATTGATTTTAACAAACTATACCTTGGTGGATAGCGGATGAATAGGCCAACAAGCTGACAAATCAGCAAGGCTTCAGACTTGAAAGCTTTGGAGTGAGCCCCAGACATAGGTGCATGATGCCCCCTGTTTCGTTTTTGTGCAGTAAGTCCCATAGCAAGGGCTGTCAGCGCCAGCCGACATGGCTCTCGTGAGTCGCGGTCTAAAGGTTCCTTAACATGGATGGATTTTGACAAACTATACCTAGGTGGATAGCGGATGATTAGACCAACAAGCTGACAAATCAGCAAGGCTTCAGACTTGAAAGCTTTGGAGTGAGCCCCAGACATAGGTGCATGTTGCCCCCTGTTTCGTTTTTGTGCAGTAAGACCCATAGCAAGGGCTGTCAGCGCCAGCCGACATGGCTCTCATGAATCGCGGTCTAAAGGTACCTTAACATGGATGGATTTTGACAAACTATACCTTGGTGGATAGCGGATGAATAGGCCAACAAGCTGACAAATTTGCAAGGCTTCAGACTTGAAACTTTTGGAGTGAGCTTCAGACGTAGGTGCATGATGCCCCCAGTTTCGTTTTTGTGCAGTAAGTCCCATGGCAAGGGCTGTCATCGCCAGCCGACATGGCTCTCATGAGTCGCGGTCTAAAGGTACCTTAACATGGATGGATTTTGACAAACTATACCTTGGTGGATAGCGGATGAATAGGCCAACAAGCTGACAAATTTGCAAGGCTTCAGATTTGAAACTTTTGGAGTGAGCTCCAGACGTAGGTGCATGATGCCCCCAGTTTCGTTTTTGTGCAGTAAGTCCCATGGCAAGGGCTGTCATCGCCAGCCGACATGGCTCTCATGAGTCGCGGTCTAAAGGTACCTTAACATGGATGGATTTTGACAAACTATACCTTGGTGAATAGCGGATGAATAGGCCAACAAGCTGACAAATTTGCAAGACTTCAGATTTGACACTTTTTGAGTGAGCCCCAGACGTAGGTGCATGATGCCCCCAGTTTCGTTTTTGTGCAGTAAGTCCCATAGCAAGGGCCGTCAGCGCCAGCCGACATGGCTCTGATGAGTCGCGGTCTAAAGGTACCTTAACATGGATGGATTTTGACAAACTATACCTTGGTGGATAGCGAATGAATAGGCCAACAAGCTGACAAATTTGCAAGGCTACAGACTTGAAACCTTTGGAGTGAGCCCCAGACGTAGGTGCATGATGCCCCCAGTTTCGTTTTTGTGCAGTAAGTCCCATAGCAAGGGCTGTCAGCGCCAGCCGACATGGCTCTCATGAGTCACGGTTTAAAGGTACCTTAACATGGATAAATTTTGACAAACTATACCTTGGTGGATAGCGAATGAATAGGCCAACAAGCTGACAAATTTGCAAGGCTTCAGATTTGATACTTTTGGAGTGAGCTCCAGACGTAGATGCATAATGCCCCCAGTTTCGTTTTTGTGCAGTAAGTCCCATAGCAAGGGCCGTCAGCGCCAGCCCACATGGCTCTCTTGAGTCGCGGTCTAAAGGTACCTTAACATGGAAGGATTTTGACAAACTATAGCTTGTTGGATAGCGGATGAATAGGTTAACAAGCTGACAAATTTGCAAGGCTTCAGATTCGACACTTTTGGAGTGAGCTCCAGACGTAGGTGCATGATGCCCCCAGTTTCGTTTTTGTGCAGTAAGTCCCATAGCAAGGACCGTCAGCGCCAGCCGGCATGGCTGTCATGAGTCGCGGTCTAAAGGTACTGTAGCGGCGAGTTGTGAAATTTAATTTGGGTTTAAATCATAGTTGTTATTTCAAAGTGTTTTCTAAACTTGAATTTATGATCACGCATACCTTTGATTGGAAATAAGTTTGTTGCGGTAAAACTGTGCGTACGTTAATTGTTCCCGTACTTTCGTAATAGCGCCCTCTTGTGATATGGTGCATTTTGTAAGGTCAAAGTGTAAATTCTTCATGATTCCGATGATTCGTAAACAATGAACGTGTACCAAATTTATCTCCCCAAATAAATGTAAAATTATCAGGTTTTCTAAGTCCCAAATGTTGTAGTTTCGGATCCAACACAATCGGTAAGCCTTGTTGATTTATTCATGGTTATAATTTATCGTATTCTGAGTGATTTAGTAAGATTATTTGTAGCTTTTCAAAGTGAAGATTTATATGTTTTGGGGGTGTTTACTTACACGTACAGGGATAATGTACGCACTATGTCAAGTGAAGGCTCAAGCTCAATCGCATATATATTTGACTAATTAATCTAATGGTTTATTATGTTTTTCTGTAATTGTTAATACTAAAGTTAAGTATTGTAATTTGTGTAATTACAGTGAACCACCACCACCACCACCTCCATAAGAACCAAATACAGCAGCAATAAAGTACATGCCTCAGGGTGCGTTCAGAAAGGGACCGAATAAAAACACTTGTGTAGCAAATGACGTTTGCAAGGCTACATAAAAGTTCACGATTTGGGACATAGTTCTACAACTCAATCATGGCTGAGGCAGATTCTGCAAATAATTTACCTGACAACGCTGATGCGGTTAGTGAAGCCGGGTCATCCATTTCAAGAGCTAGCTCGAGGGTTAGCACAAGTTCAGTTTCCAGACGGAAAGAAGCCAAGGCCAATCAGTTACTGGCACGCCTCAAAGCAGAGCAGTTGAAGAAGAAACAGGCATTGGCGCATGAGAAGCTCAAGATTGAACAAAGGATGGAGCAGATGGAGGCGGATGATGAATTGGAGCAAGCTGAGCAACAAGTACAGTTCTGGGAAAATGAAGTTAGGACTGAGGATGGTGTGACAGACGGTCCATCCGTGAGAAACACGGAATGGAATTTAACCACCGCTTCAGAGTCCGCCGGGGTGACATTACCTCAACAAGATGTGTCTCCATCCAGTAGTGACGATGTCCCAGACAAAGTTGATGGCAAAGCAGACCTCACAAATCTTGCTCAGTTGGTTCAGGCCATGACGTTGGCTATCAATACACCAAAACCAGAGCTGCTCTCCTTCAGTGGTGATCCTGCAGACTACTCGGGGTTCATCCACAATTTTGATGTGAATATTGCCAGCAAGGTTTCCGAAGACAGGGTAAAGTTAACTTACCTTATTCAGTTCTGTAGAGGAAAGGCTCGAGAGAGTATAGAGAATTGTGTGCTGATGGAGGAGAAAGCCGGGTATAAGTTGGCGAAGGAAATTCTTCGTGATCAGTTTGGACAGCCACACGTCATCACCCAATCTCTCATCAATAAAGTCACCGATAGACAACCGATCAGGCCAAATGATGGTGCTGGACTGTGGGAGCTTGCTCGTCAGATGAGGAAATGCCAGGTGACTCTGTCGCAGATTGGGTACTCAGCAGACATGAACAGCTCCGACCGTCTCCTCAAGGTACAACGATTGTTGCCGATACATCTTCAATCCGAGTGGGCTAAACGAGCTCAGATCATGATCCAGGGTAACATGGAGCCTAACTTCTCACACTTGACTGACTTCATCGAGCAAAAGGCGAAGATAGCAAGTAACATGTTTGGCCAGAATATTGGGACAAATATTCGAGCAGACAAGACATCACATCCCAGCTTCAAGAGTAAACCAGCTAAGGTTACCACGCTTGCTACTCAAGGCTCTAATGCGGTAGGAGAGACAACAAATGGACGAGGTCGTCCTCAGCGAGGAAACTATGTGCCGAAATGTCGCTGCTGTTCCCAATCACATACGTTGAAGGAATGCAGAGAATTCCAGCAAAGGTCTTATGACGATAGGCTGAAGTTCGTCCGAAGCAACAAGTTATGCGACAACTGTTTCCGACCTGGGCACATGGCTAAAGGTTGTATGCTGAAATCAACATGTGAAGTCAGTAGCTGTACATGGAGGCATCATACGCTGTTACATCCTCCGCACAGAGATGATAGAGGTTCAAAGGGTGAAGGTGCCAATTATCCAAGTTCCAGTTCTGCATCTGGGGCTGGGGACAAGAACCAGAGTCACACTACAAGCAAGCCAGAGAGCAGACAGCATGGAAGTGTAAACGCAACTGCAGCTTCCATGAACAGAGTGTGCCTAAGAGTTGTCCCAGTCAGAGTGCAGGGAAAGGACAAAGAAGTTCAGACGTGGGCACTGCTTGATGGAGGGAGTGATACATCACTGTGCGATAGAAGGTTGCTAGATCAACTAGGCCTTCAAGGCATAGAAAGGAACATCACCCTCGCTACCGTCAATGACGAGCACAGTGAGAAAACTGGAGTTGAAGTTAGCCTCACAGTAAAGGACTTGGAGGGACGTCAGAGTGTTGACCTTCCCAAGGTGTGGACTGTTGACAAGTTACCGATCACAGACAGAAGTTTCCCAAGAGAAGAAGACGTAAGCAAGTGGCCACACTTACAGGGAATAAGCTTTCCTATGATCAGTGAGCGTCGGGTGATGTTACTGATCGGGGGAGACACTCCAGAAGTCTTCTGGGTCCTGGAAGAGCGACGTGGCAAGAGAAAGGAGCCATATGCTGTACGATCTCTTTTGGGATGGACTTTGCTGGGACCTACAGCCACTAACGAGAAGCAGTTCAGTTTCAACGTAAATCACGTTTTGCTTGAGGATGACTTGCTGCTACGAACAGTTGAGAAATTCTGGGAAACGGACTTCGGCGGCAAGATGGCTGATGGTGAAGTTGCTGACTCGGTGGAAGACAAACGAGCTAGGACCATCATGATAGAAACTGTAACAAAGGTTGACGGTCACTACCAGGTTGGTTTGCCATGGCGTTACCAGAGTCGATGTTTGCCTGACAATCGCCCTCTTGCAGAGTCAAGATTACAATCATTGAAGAGGCGATTTCAAAGAGACCCCAGCTTGTATGAGAAATATAAGAAGACTCTTGATGTCTACTTCATGAAAGGTTATGCCAGAGAGATATCTTCATCAAGCCCCCAGGGTGTCAGGCCTGAGACTACCACTGATGAGCAGCTTGCCAAAGGTGTAGAAACCGCAATAACAGGACAGACAGTGTGGTACTTACCTCACCACCCAGTGCTGCATCCACAAAAGCCAGGCAAACTTAGAGTAGTATATGACTGTGCTGCCAAGTACAAGGGTGTATCGTTGAACGACCAGCTGCTTCAGGGACCTGATTTTGCAAATAATCTAGTCGGAGTACTGACGAGATTTAGAGAAGAGCCTGTTGCACTGGTAGCTGACGTTGAAGCAATGTTTCACCAGGTTAAGGTGCCTGATAATGACAGCGATGCCCTGAGATTTCTCTGGTGGCCCAATGGAGATTATTCCAAGGAGCCGACGGATCATAAGATGCTGGTGCACCTGTTCGGTGCGACATCATCACCCAGCTGTGCCGGATTTTGTCTCAGAAAGACAGCTGAAGACAACCGAGAGAACTTCGACAAGGAAACCGTCACCACAGTTCTCGAAAATTTCTACATGTATGTAGATGATTGTCTTGTGTCAACGAAGACAGAAAGTGAAGCCATCAGGTTAGCCAGTCAGCTTATCCAGTTATTAGCCAAAGGAGGATTCAGGTTGACTAAGTGGGTATGTAACAGTCGTGATGTATTGGTGACCATTCCTGCTGAAGAGAGAGCTCCATCGGTTGTTAAGTTGGATTTTGATCATCTGCCAGTGGAGCGTACCTTAGGCGTGAGATGGGATGTTGAGGCTGACAAGTTTGGGTTCGAAGCAGCTGTGAAATGCAAGCCCGCAACAAGGAGGGGTATCTTGTCAACTGTAAGTTCATTGTATGACCCCTTGGGTTTCCTCGCACCATTTATCCTGCCAGTTAAAATTCTTCTTCAGGATCTCTGTCGTCAGGGGCGTGGCTGGGATGAAAAGGTCGAGGAATGCGAGATGATGAGGTGGAAGCGATGGCTGGATGACCTACCAAGGCTGACGTGCGTTACCATTGATAGATGTCTCCAACCAAGGGAATTCAGCGACATAGTTGCCTTTCAGCTTCACCATTTTTCTGACGCGTCAGAGCGAGGTTATGCCGCTGTGTCGTACTTGCGTGTTGTTGATGTGCATGGAAAGATCCACTGCGCATTTGTCATGGGAAAGGCCCGATTGTGTCCAGTGAAACAGGTCACCATTCCTCGACTAGAGTTGTCAGCTGCAGTTTTGGCGGTGAGGTTGAATCAGCTGATCCAAAGAGATATTAGACTGCCTATCATGGAGACAGTGTATTGGACAGACTCCACGTCAGTTCTTCAGTACATCCAGAATGAGAGTCGCAGATTTCACACATTTGTTGCGAATCGCGTTTCAAGGATACAGAGTGGATCTGACCCATCCCAGTGGCGGTACGTGGACACAGCCAGTAACCCGGCGGATGATGGCTCACGAGGATTGACTGCAGACGCCATGATCAAGAACCAACGATGGCTGAACGGACCTGATTTCCTGTTGAAGGAAGTACAACACTGGCCACTCCCACCTGTTGTAATCAAGGGGCCCTACCCAGATGTGCTACCCGATACTCTGCAGAGTGATCCCGAGGTGAAGAAAGTTGTCCAGTCTTACTCCATAGTTGAGAAGGATTGTGTACAGGAGTTCCTGAGTAGATACTCATCCTGGAGTCAAATGAAGCGTGGAGTTGCCTGGTTGCTGAGATATAGAGACTACCTCTATGCTCGTGCCAAGGGAAGACGGGATGCCAGCGAATTCTGTTGTAGGAGACTGTCTTTGTCAGAGCTGCAGAGAGCAGAGAGAGAAGTCGTCAAATACACCCAGCGTCAGTCGTTCCGTAAGGAGATTGCTGTACTTGAGGCTCATGCAGATATAACCACCAAGAAGAGTAAGAAAGGTCCAAATGCGCTCCACAAATTGAGCCCCATTTTGGTGGATGGAATTCTCCGTGTAGGTGGACGCCTTGAGAATGCACCAATCCAACATGACATCAAGCATCCGATTATCCTGCCGAGCGATCACCAGGTGACGAGGCTGCTGATCGAACATCATCATCTCAAGGTTGGTCATTCAGGGGCAGGTATGACATGGACGTCACTAAGAGAGAGATTTTGGATACTGAAGGGAGGATCTACAGTGAGGCGAGTGATTGGAAAGTGTTTCCGTTGCAAGAAAAGAAATGCACCCCTTTGTCAACAGCTGATGGGTGAGCTGCCAGCAGATAGAGTCACTCCAGAGAAGCCCCCCTTTACGTACGTGGGCGTGGATTACTTCGGTCCACTTTACGTAAAACAAGGACGCAGCCATGTCAAGAGATACGGATGTGTCTTCACGTGTCTTACCATGAGGGCCATACATATAGAAATTGCTCACTCACTTGACACAGACGCCTTCATAAACGCTTTGCGGCGGTTCATCAGCAGGAGAGGTACACCAGAAAAGATCAGGAGCGACAATGGTACCAACTTCACGGGTGGAGAGCGCGAGTTGCGGGAGAGTATTGCATCACTGAACGAGCAGAAGATTGGAGACTATCTTCATCAACGAGGAATTGAGTGGCAATTCAACCCACCAACGGCAAGTCATATGGGAGGAGTCTGGGAGCGGATGATACGCTCTATTCGAAAAATCCTCAAGAATCTCCTTCAAGAACAGGTGGTATGTGATGAGGTGCTACTTACCGTGATGGCTGAAGTGGAGGCTATCTTAAACGCGAGACCGCTCACACAGCTCAGCTTGGACCCCCGTGACGATGAGCCATTGACTCCAAACCATCTACTTCTGATGAGACCAAGCTTCAATGCTCCACCAGGGGTATTTGTGAAGGAAGATGGGTATGGGCGGCGCAGATGGCGTCAAGCGCAATTCTTGGCAGACCAGTTTTGGAGGCGATGGAAGAGGGAATACCTACCACTTTTGCAGCAGCGTCAGAAATGGACCCAGCCAAGACGAGACCTGGAGGTGAATGACCTTGTGTTGGTTGCTGCTGACAACGAGCCCCGTGGACAGTGGCCTCTCGGTAGAGTGATGCAAGTCTACCCAGATAAGGAGGGACGAGTTCGCCAGGTCGAGGTGAGAGTAGGCACTAAGTACCTCAGGCGCCCCATTGCCAAGCTTTGCTTCTTGGAAAGAGCTAACAGCATGTGAAGTTTCATCAGTCAATGAACATTTGTGATTGAACTCTGGCCAAGTGAACATTCGTGATTTGTTAATGATCAAAGAAGTTGACTCTGAATGTGATTCATGTTTTTCGAAATCACAATCATTTGGAAATTGTAGTGCATTTAATTAATCCCTGATGCTTTGAAATTGAAGTGTGCCGCTTAAAGGTGTAGAAAAATGAACAGATCGAGTCAGTTCATGGGGCTGGGGATGTAGCGGCGAGTTGTGAAATTTAATTTGGGTTTAAATCATAGTTGTTATTTCAAAGTGTTTTCTAAACTTGAATTTATGATCACGCATACCTTTGATTGGAAATAAGTTTGTTGCGGTAAAACTGTGCGTACGTTAATTGTTCCCGTACTTTCGTAATAGCGCCCTCTTGTGATATGGTGCATTTTGTAAGGTCAAAGTGTAAATTCTTCATGATTCCGATGATTCGTAAACAATGAACGTGTACCAAATTTATCTCCCCAAATAAATGTAAAATTATCAGGTTTTCTAAGTCCCAAATGTTGTAGTTTCGGATCCAACACAATCGGTAAGCCTTGTTGATTTATTCATGGTTATAATTTATCGTATTCTGAGTGATTTAGTAAGATTATTTGTAGCTTTTCAAAGTGAAGATTTATATGTTTTGGGGGTGTTTACTTACACGTACAGGGATAATGTACGCACTATGTCAAGTGAAGGCTCAAGCTCAATCGCATATATATTTGACTAATTAATCTAATGGTTTATTATGTTTTTCTGTAATTGTTAATACTAAAGTTAAGTATTGTAATTTGTGTAATTACAGTGAACCACCACCACCACCACCTCCATAAGAACCAAATACAGCAGCAATAAAGTACATGCCTCAGGGTGCGTTCAGAAAGGGACCGAATAAAAACACTTGTGTAGCAAATGACGTTTGCAAGGCTACATAAAAGTTCACGATTTGGGACATAGTTCTACAACTCAATCATGGCTGAGGCAGATTCTGCAAATAATTTACCTGACAACGCTGATGCGGTTAGTGAAGCCGGGTCATCCATTTCAAGAGCTAGCTCGAGGGTTAGCACAAGTTCAGTTTCCAGACGGAAAGAAGCCAAGGCCAATCAGTTACTGGCACGCCTCAAAGCAGAGCAGTTGAAGAAGAAACAGGCATTGGCGCATGAGAAGCTCAAGATTGAACAAAGGATGGAGCAGATGGAGGCGGATGATGAATTGGAGCAAGCTGAGCAACAAGTACAGTTCTGGGAAAATGAAGTTAGGACTGAGGATGGTGTGACAGACGGTCCATCCGTGAGAAACACGGAATGGAATTTAACCACCGCTTCAGAGTCCGCCGGGGTGACATTACCTCAACAAGATGTGTCTCCATCCAGTAGTGACGATGTCCCAGACAAAGTTGATGGCAAAGCAGACCTCACAAATCTTGCTCAGTTGGTTCAGGCCATGACGTTGGCTATCAATACACCAAAACCAGAGCTGCTCTCCTTCAGTGGTGATCCTGCAGACTACTCGGGGTTCATCCACAATTTTGATGTGAATATTGCCAGCAAGGTTTCCGAAGACAGGGTAAAGTTAACTTACCTTATTCAGTTCTGTAGAGGAAAGGCTCGAGAGAGTATAGAGAATTGTGTGCTGATGGAGGAGAAAGCCGGGTATAAGTTGGCGAAGGAAATTCTTCGTGATCAGTTTGGACAGCCACACGTCATCACCCAATCTCTCATCAATAAAGTCACCGATAGACAACCGATCAGGCCAAATGATGGTGCTGGACTGTGGGAGCTTGCTCGTCAGATGAGGAAATGCCAGGTGACTCTGTCGCAGATTGGGTACTCAGCAGACATGAACAGCTCCGACCGTCTCCTCAAGGTACAACGATTGTTGCCGATACATCTTCAATCCGAGTGGGCTAAACGAGCTCAGATCATGATCCAGGGTAACATGGAGCCTAACTTCTCACACTTGACTGACTTCATCGAGCAAAAGGCGAAGATAGCAAGTAACATGTTTGGCCAGAATATTGGGACAAATATTCGAGCAGACAAGACATCACATCCCAGCTTCAAGAGTAAACCAGCTAAGGTTACCACGCTTGCTACTCAAGGCTCTAATGCGGTAGGAGAGACAACAAATGGACGAGGTCGTCCTCAGCGAGGAAACTATGTGCCGAAATGTCGCTGCTGTTCCCAATCACATACGTTGAAGGAATGCAGAGAATTCCAGCAAAGGTCTTATGACGATAGGCTGAAGTTCGTCCGAAGCAACAAGTTATGCGACAACTGTTTCCGACCTGGGCACATGGCTAAAGGTTGTATGCTGAAATCAACATGTGAAGTCAGTAGCTGTACATGGAGGCATCATACGCTGTTACATCCTCCGCACAGAGATGATAGAGGTTCAAAGGGTGAAGGTGCCAATTATCCAAGTTCCAGTTCTGCATCTGGGGCTGGGGACAAGAACCAGAGTCACACTACAAGCAAGCCAGAGAGCAGACAGCATGGAAGTGTAAACGCAACTGCAGCTTCCATGAACAGAGTGTGCCTAAGAGTTGTCCCAGTCAGAGTGCAGGGAAAGGACAAAGAAGTTCAGACGTGGGCACTGCTTGATGGAGGGAGTGATACATCACTGTGCGATAGAAGGTTGCTAGATCAACTAGGCCTTCAAGGCATAGAAAGGAACATCACCCTCGCTACCGTCAATGACGAGCACAGTGAGAAAACTGGAGTTGAAGTTAGCCTCACAGTAAAGGACTTGGAGGGACGTCAGAGTGTTGACCTTCCCAAGGTGTGGACTGTTGACAAGTTACCGATCACAGACAGAAGTTTCCCAAGAGAAGAAGACGTAAGCAAGTGGCCACACTTACAGGGAATAAGCTTTCCTATGATCAGTGAGCGTCGGGTGATGTTACTGATCGGGGGAGACACTCCAGAAGTCTTCTGGGTCCTGGAAGAGCGACGTGGCAAGAGAAAGGAGCCATATGCTGTACGATCTCTTTTGGGATGGACTTTGCTGGGACCTACAGCCACTAACGAGAAGCAGTTCAGTTTCAACGTAAATCACGTTTTGCTTGAGGATGACTTGCTGCTACGAACAGTTGAGAAATTCTGGGAAACGGACTTCGGCGGCAAGATGGCTGATGGTGAAGTTGCTGACTCGGTGGAAGACAAACGAGCTAGGACCATCATGATAGAAACTGTAACAAAGGTTGACGGTCACTACCAGGTTGGTTTGCCATGGCGTTACCAGAGTCGATGTTTGCCTGACAATCGCCCTCTTGCAGAGTCAAGATTACAATCATTGAAGAGGCGATTTCAAAGAGACCCCAGCTTGTATGAGAAATATAAGAAGACTCTTGATGTCTACTTCATGAAAGGTTATGCCAGAGAGATATCTTCATCAAGCCCCCAGGGTGTCAGGCCTGAGACTACCACTGATGAGCAGCTTGCCAAAGGTGTAGAAACCGCAATAACAGGACAGACAGTGTGGTACTTACCTCACCACCCAGTGCTGCATCCACAAAAGCCAGGCAAACTTAGAGTAGTATATGACTGTGCTGCCAAGTACAAGGGTGTATCGTTGAACGACCAGCTGCTTCAGGGACCTGATTTTGCAAATAATCTAGTCGGAGTACTGACGAGATTTAGAGAAGAGCCTGTTGCACTGGTAGCTGACGTTGAAGCAATGTTTCACCAGGTTAAGGTGCCTGATAATGACAGCGATGCCCTGAGATTTCTCTGGTGGCCCAATGGAGATTATTCCAAGGAGCCGACGGATCATAAGATGCTGGTGCACCTGTTCGGTGCGACATCATCACCCAGCTGTGCCGGATTTTGTCTCAGAAAGACAGCTGAAGACAACCGAGAGAACTTCGACAAGGAAACCGTCACCACAGTTCTCGAAAATTTCTACATGTATGTAGATGATTGTCTTGTGTCAACGAAGACAGAAAGTGAAGCCATCAGGTTAGCCAGTCAGCTTATCCAGTTATTAGCCAAAGGAGGATTCAGGTTGACTAAGTGGGTATGTAACAGTCGTGATGTATTGGTGACCATTCCTGCTGAAGAGAGAGCTCCATCGGTTGTTAAGTTGGATTTTGATCATCTGCCAGTGGAGCGTACCTTAGGCGTGAGATGGGATGTTGAGGCTGACAAGTTTGGGTTCGAAGCAGCTGTGAAATGCAAGCCCGCAACAAGGAGGGGTATCTTGTCAACTGTAAGTTCATTGTATGACCCCTTGGGTTTCCTCGCACCATTTATCCTGCCAGTTAAAATTCTTCTTCAGGATCTCTGTCGTCAGGGGCGTGGCTGGGATGAAAAGGTCGAGGAATGCGAGATGATGAGGTGGAAGCGATGGCTGGATGACCTACCAAGGCTGACGTGCGTTACCATTGATAGATGTCTCCAACCAAGGGAATTCAGCGACATAGTTGCCTTTCAGCTTCACCATTTTTCTGACGCGTCAGAGCGAGGTTATGCCGCTGTGTCGTACTTGCGTGTTGTTGATGTGCATGGAAAGATCCACTGCGCATTTGTCATGGGAAAGGCCCGATTGTGTCCAGTGAAACAGGTCACCATTCCTCGACTAGAGTTGTCAGCTGCAGTTTTGGCGGTGAGGTTGAATCAGCTGATCCAAAGAGATATTAGACTGCCTATCATGGAGACAGTGTATTGGACAGACTCCACGTCAGTTCTTCAGTACATCCAGAATGAGAGTCGCAGATTTCACACATTTGTTGCGAATCGCGTTTCAAGGATACAGAGTGGATCTGACCCATCCCAGTGGCGGTACGTGGACACAGCCAGTAACCCGGCGGATGATGGCTCACGAGGATTGACTGCAGACGCCATGATCAAGAACCAACGATGGCTGAACGGACCTGATTTCCTGTTGAAGGAAGTACAACACTGGCCACTCCCACCTGTTGTAATCAAGGGGCCCTACCCAGATGTGCTACCCGATACTCTGCAGAGTGATCCCGAGGTGAAGAAAGTTGTCCAGTCTTACTCCATAGTTGAGAAGGATTGTGTACAGGAGTTCCTGAGTAGATACTCATCCTGGAGTCAAATGAAGCGTGGAGTTGCCTGGTTGCTGAGATATAGAGACTACCTCTATGCTCGTGCCAAGGGAAGACGGGATGCCAGCGAATTCTGTTGTAGGAGACTGTCTTTGTCAGAGCTGCAGAGAGCAGAGAGAGAAGTCGTCAAATACACCCAGCGTCAGTCGTTCCGTAAGGAGATTGCTGTACTTGAGGCTCATGCAGATATAACCACCAAGAAGAGTAAGAAAGGTCCAAATGCGCTCCACAAATTGAGCCCCATTTTGGTGGATGGAATTCTCCGTGTAGGTGGACGCCTTGAGAATGCACCAATCCAACATGACATCAAGCATCCGATTATCCTGCCGAGCGATCACCAGGTGACGAGGCTGCTGATCGAACATCATCATCTCAAGGTTGGTCATTCAGGGGCAGGTATGACATGGACGTCACTAAGAGAGAGATTTTGGATACTGAAGGGAGGATCTACAGTGAGGCGAGTGATTGGAAAGTGTTTCCGTTGCAAGAAAAGAAATGCACCCCTTTGTCAACAGCTGATGGGTGAGCTGCCAGCAGATAGAGTCACTCCAGAGAAGCCCCCCTTTACGTACGTGGGCGTGGATTACTTCGGTCCACTTTACGTAAAACAAGGACGCAGCCATGTCAAGAGATACGGATGTGTCTTCACGTGTCTTACCATGAGGGCCATACATATAGAAATTGCTCACTCACTTGACACAGACGCCTTCATAAACGCTTTGCGGCGGTTCATCAGCAGGAGAGGTACACCAGAAAAGATCAGGAGCGACAATGGTACCAACTTCACGGGTGGAGAGCGCGAGTTGCGGGAGAGTATTGCATCACTGAACGAGCAGAAGATTGGAGACTATCTTCATCAACGAGGAATTGAGTGGCAATTCAACCCACCAACGGCAAGTCATATGGGAGGAGTCTGGGAGCGGATGATACGCTCTATTCGAAAAATCCTCAAGAATCTCCTTCAAGAACAGGTGGTATGTGATGAGGTGCTACTTACCGTGATGGCTGAAGTGGAGGCTATCTTAAACGCGAGACCGCTCACACAGCTCAGCTTGGACCCCCGTGACGATGAGCCATTGACTCCAAACCATCTACTTCTGATGAGACCAAGCTTCAATGCTCCACCAGGGGTATTTGTGAAGGAAGATGGGTATGGGCGGCGCAGATGGCGTCAAGCGCAATTCTTGGCAGACCAGTTTTGGAGGCGATGGAAGAGGGAATACCTACCACTTTTGCAGCAGCGTCAGAAATGGACCCAGCCAAGACGAGACCTGGAGGTGAATGACCTTGTGTTGGTTGCTGCTGACAACGAGCCCCGTGGACAGTGGCCTCTCGGTAGAGTGATGCAAGTCTACCCAGATAAGGAGGGACGAGTTCGCCAGGTCGAGGTGAGAGTAGGCACTAAGTACCTCAGGCGCCCCATTGCCAAGCTTTGCTTCTTGGAAAGAGCTAACAGCATGTGAAGTTTCATCAGTCAATGAACATTTGTGATTGAACTCTGGCCAAGTGAACATTCGTGATTTGTTAATGATCAAAGAAGTTGACTCTGAATGTGATTCATGTTTTTCGAAATCACAATCATTTGGAAATTGTAGTGCATTTAATTAATCCCTGATGCTTTGAAATTGAAGTGTGCCGCTTAAAGGTGTAGAAAAATGAACAGATCGAGTCAGTTCATGGGGCTGGGGATGTAGCGGCGAGTTGTGAAATTTAATTTGGGTTTAAATCATAGTTGTTATTTCAAAGTGTTTTCTAAACTTTAATTTATGATCACGCATACCTTTGATTGGAAATAAGTTTGTTGCGGTAAAACTGTGCGTACGTTAATTGTTCCCGTACTTTCGTAATAGCGCCCTCTTGTGATATGGTGCATTTTGTAAGGTCAAAGTGTAAATTCTTCATGATTCCGATGATTCGTAAACAATGAACGTGTACCAAATTTATCTCCCCAAATAAATGTAAAATTATCAGGTTTTCTAAGTCCCAAATGTTGTAGTTTCGGATCCAACACAATCGGTAAGCCTTGTTGATTTATTCATGGTTATAATTTATCGTATTCTGAGTGATTTAGTAAGATTATTTGTAGCTTTTCAAAGTGAAGATTTATATGTTTTGGGGGTGTTTACTTACACGTACAGGGATAATGTACGCACTATGTCAAGTGAAGGCTCAAGCTCAATCGCATATATATTTGACTAATTAATCTAATGGTTTATTATGTTTTTCTGTAATTGTTAATACTAAAGTTAAGTATTGTAATTTGTGTAATTACAGTGAACCACCACCACCACCACCTCCATAAGAACCAAATACAGCAGCAATAAAGTACATGCCTCAGGGTGCGTTCAGAAAGGGACCGAATAAAAACACTTCTGTAGCAAATGACGTTTGCAAGGCTACAGGTACCTTAACATGGATGGATGTTGACCACCTATACCTTGGTGGATAACGGATGAATAGGCCAACAAGCTGACAAGTCGGCAAGGCTTCAGACTTGAAAATTTTAGAGTGAGCCCCAGACGTAGGTGCATGATGCTCCCCGTTTTGTTTTTGTGCCGTATGTCCCATAGCAAGGGCTCTCAGCGCCAGTCCACATGGCTCTCATGAGTCGCGGTTTAAAGGTACCTTAACATGGATGGATTTTGACAAACTATACCTTGGTGGATAGCGAATGAATAGGCCAACAAGCTGACAAATTTGCAAGGCTTCAGATTCGACACTTTTGGAGTGAGCTCCAGACGTAGGTGCATGATGCCCCCAGTTTCGTTTTTGTGCAGTAAGTCCCATACCAAGGACCGTCAGCGCCAGCCGGCATGGCTCTCATGAGTCGCGGTCTAAAGGTACCTTAACATGGATGGATGTTGACCACCTATACCTTGGTGGATAACGGATGAATAGGCCAACAAGCTGACAAGTCGGCAAGGCTTCAGACTTGAAAATTTTAGAGTGAGCCCCAGACGTAGGTGCATGATGCTCCCCGTTTTGTTTTTGTGCAGTATGTCCCATAGCAAGGGCTCTCAGCGCCAGCCCACATGGCTCTCATGAGTCGCGGTCTAAAGGTACCTTAACATGGATGGATTTTGACAAACTATACCTAGGTGGATAGCGGATGAATAGGCCAACAAGCTGACAAGTCCGCAAGGCTTCAGACTTGAAATCTTTTGGAGTGAGCCCGAGACATAGGTGCATGATACCCCCTGTTTCGTTTTTGTGCAGTAAGTCCTATAGCAAGGGCTGTCAGCGCCAGCCGACATGGCTCTCATGGGTCGCGGTCTAAAAGTACCTTAACATGGTTGGATTTTGACAAACTATACCTTGGTGGATAGCGGATGAATAGGCCAACAAGCTGACAAATTTGCAAGGCTTCAAATTTGAAACTTTTGGAGTGAGCTCCAGACGTAGGAGCATGATGCCCCCAGTTTCGTTTTTGTGCAGTAAGTCCCATAGCAAGGGCTGTCATCGCCAGCCGACATGGCTCTCATGAGTCGCGGTCTAAAGGTACCTTAACATGGATGGATTTTGACAAACTATATCTTGGTGGATAGCGGATGAATAGGCCAACAAGCTGACAAATTTGCAAGGCTACAGATTTGACACTTTTGGAGTGAGCCCCAGACGTAGGTGCATGATGCCCCCAGTTTCGTTTTTGTGCAGTAAGTCCCATAGCAAGGGCCGTCAGCGCCAGCCGACATGGCTCTCATGAGTCGCGGTCTAAAGGTACCTTAACATGGATGGATTTTGACAAACTATAGCTTGTTGGATAGCGGATGAATAGGTTAACAAGATGACAAATTTGCAAGGCTTCAGATTTGACACTTTTGGAGTGAGCTCCAGACGTAGGTGCATGATGCCCCCTGTTTCGTTTTTGTGCAGTAAGTCCCATAGCAAGGGCCGTCAGCGCCAGCCGACATGGCTCTCATGAGTCGCGGTCTAAAGGTACCTTAACATAGATGGATGTTGACCACCTATACCTTGGTGGATAGCGGATGAATAGGCCAACAAGCTGACAAGTCGGCAAGGCTTCAGACTTGAAACTTTTAGAGTGAGCCCTAGACGTAGGTGCATGATGCTCCCCGTTTTGTTTTTGTGCCGTATGTCCCATAGCAAGGGCTCTCAGCGCCAGTCCACATGGCTCTCATGAGTCGCGGTCTAAAGGTACCTTAACATAGATGGATTTTGACAAACTATATCTTGGTAAATAGCGGATGAATAGGCCAACAAGCTGACAAATTTGCAAGGCTTCAGACTTGAAACTTTTGGAGTGATCTCCAGACGTAGGTGCATGATGCCCCCAGTTTCGTTTTTGTGCAGTAAGTCCCATAGCAAGGGCTGTCAGCGCCAGCCGACATGGCTCTTATGATTCGCGGTCTAAAGGTACCTTAACATGGATGGATTTTGACAAACTATACCTATGTGGATAGCGGATGAATAGGCCAACAAGCTGACAAGTCCGCAAGGCTTCAGACCTGAAATCTTTGGAATGAGCCCCAGACGTATGTGCATGATACCCCCTGTTTCGTTTTTGTGCAGTAAGTCCCATAGCAAGGGCTGTCAGCGCCAGCCGACATGGCTCTCATGGATCGCGGTCTAAAAGTACCTTAACATGGTTGGATTTTGACAAACTATACCTTTGTGGATAGCGGATGAATAGGCCAACAAGCTGACAAATTTGCAAGGCTTCAGACCTGAAACTTTTGGAGTGATCTCCAGACGTAGGTGCATTATTCCCCCAGTTTCGTTTTTGTGCAGTAAGTCCCATAGCAAGGTCTGTCAGCGCCAGCCGACATGGCTCCCATGAGTCGCGGTCTAAAGGTACCTTAACATAAATGGATTTTGACAAACTATACCTTGGTGGATAGCGAATGAATAAGCCAACAAGCTGACAAATCGGTAAGGCTTCAGACTTGAAACTTTTGGAGTGAGCCCCAGACGTAGGTGCATGATGCCCCCAGTTTCGTTTTTGTGCAGTAAGTCCCATAGCAAGGGCCGTCAGCGCCAGCCGACATGGCTCTCTTGAGTCGCGTTCTAAAGGTACCTTAACACGGATTGATTTTAACAAACTATACCTTGGTGGATAGCGGATGAATAGGCCAACAAGCTGACAAATCAGCAAGGCTTCAGACTTGAAAGCTTTGGAGTGAGCCCCAGACATAGGTGCATGATGCCCCCTGTTTCGTTTTTGTGCAGTAAGTCCCATAGCAAGGGCTGTCAGCGCCAGCCGACATGGCTCTCGTGAGTCGCGGTCTAAAGGTACCTTAACATGGATGGATTTTGACAAACTATAGCTTGTTGGATAGCGGATGATTAGACCAACAAGCTGACAAATCAGCAAGGCTTCAGACTTGAAACTTTTAGAGTAAGCCCTAGACGTAGGTGCATGATGCTCCCCGTTTTGTTTTTGTGCCGTATGTCCCATAGCAAGGGCTCTCAGCGCCAGTCCACATGGCTCTCATGAGTCGCGGTGTAAAGGTACCTTAACATAGATGGATTTTGACAAACTATATCTTGGTAAATAGCGGATGAATAGGCCAACAAGCTGACAAATTTGCAAGGCTTCAGACTTGAAACTTTTGGAGTGATCTCCAGACGTAGGTGCATGATGCCCCCAGTTTCGTTTTTGTGCAGTAAGTCCCATAGCAAGGGCTGTCAGCTCCAGCCGACATGGCTCTTATGATTCGCGGTCTAAAGGTACCTTAACATGGATGGATTTTGACAAACTATACCTAGGTGGATAGCGGATGAATAGGCCAACAAGCTGACAAGTCCGCAAGGCTTCAGACCTGAAATCTTTCGAATGAGCCCCAGACGTATGTGCATGATACCCCCTGTTTCGTTTTTGTGCAGTAAGTCCCATAGCAAGGGCTGTCAGCGCCAGCCGACATGGCTCTCATGGATCGCGGTCTAAAAGTACCTTAACATGGTTGGATTTTGACAAACTATACCTTTGTGGATATGCGGATGAATAGGCCAACAAGCTGACAAATTTGCAAGGCTTCAGACTTGAAACTTTTGGAGTGATCTCCAGACGTAGGTGCATTATTCCCCCAGTTTCGTTTTTGTGCAGTAAGTCCCATAGCAAGGTCTGTCAGCGCCAGCCGACATGGCTTCCATGAGTCGCGGTCTAAAGGTACCTTAACATAAATGGATTTTGACAAACTATACCTTGGTGGATAGCGAATGAATAAGCCAACAAGCTGACAAATCGGTAAGGCTTCAGACTTGAAACTTTTGGAGTGAGCCCCAGACGTAGGTGCATGATGCCCCCAGTTTCGTTTTTGTGCAGTAAGTCCCATAGCAAGGGCCGTCAGCGCCAGCCGACATAGCTCTCTTGAGTAGCGTTCTAAAGGTACCTTAACACGGATTGATTTTAACAAACTATACCTTGGTGGATAGCGGATGAATAGGCCAACAAGCTGACAAATCAGCAAGGCTTCAGACTTGAAAGCTTTAGAGTGAGCCCCAGACATAGGTGCATGATGCCCCCTGTTTCGTTTTTGTGCAGTAAGTCCCATAGCAAGGGCTGTCAGCGCCAGCCGACATGGCTCTCGTGAGTCGCGGTCTAAAGGTACCTTAACATGGATGGATTTTGACAAACTATAGCTTGTTGGGTAGCGGATGATTAGACCAACAAGCTGACAAGTCGGCAAGGCTTCAGACTTGAAACTTTTAGAGTGAGCCCTAGACGTAGGTGCATGATGCTCCCCGTTTTGTTTTTGTGCCGTATGTCCCATAGCAAGGGCTCTCAGCGCCAGTCCACATGGCTCTCATGAGTGGCGGTTTAAAGGTACCTTAACATGGATGGATTTTGACAAACTATACCTTGGTGGATAGCGAATGAATAGGCCAACAAGCTGACAAATTTGCAAGGCTTCAGATTTGATACTTTTGGAGTGAGCTCCAGACGTAGATGCATCATGCCCCCAGTTTCGTTTTTGTGCAGTAAGTCCCATAGCAAGGGCCGTCAGCGCCAGCCCACATGGCTCTCTTGAGTCGCGGTCTAAAGGTACCTTAACATGGAAGGATTTTGACAAACTATAGCTTGTTGGATAGCGGATGAATAGGTTAACAAGCTGACAAATTTGCAAGGCTTCAGATTCGACACTTTTGGAGTGAGCTCCAGACGTAGGTGCATGATGCCCCCAGTTTCGTTTTTGTGCAGTAAGTCCCATACCAAGGACCGTCAGCGCCAGCCGGCATGGCTCTCATGAGTCGCGGTCTCAAGGTACCTTAACATGGATGGATGTTGACCACCTATACCTTGGTGGATAACGGATGAATAGGCCAACAAGCTGACAAGTCGGCAAGGCTTCAGACTTGAAAATTTTAGAGTGAGCCCCAGACGTAGGTGCATGATGCTCCCCGTTTTGTTTTTGTGCAGTATGTCCCATAGCAAG